TAGAACACACAGAGAGATGCATTTTAATGATAATGACTTCATAAGCTTAATGCACTCCAAATTAATTTCACCAGAACTCAGCGTCATTGATAAGAGAGCTCTGATCCATATCACATCTACACCGTGGTTACTTCAGCATCTTAGCTCCACTCATTCACCGTAAATGTTTAATTCAGTAGTCGTGTTTTAAATGGATTAAAATAAATTCTTACTTTTACAAAACTTGACTCTTTCTTGAAGTAACACGATGTGTGGTTGATCACTGAAAAAGCAAAGAACCTAGATCTTCTGAATAATTACAATAAAGACCTCGCAGGCTAATATTTTATATTTATATAGAATATTACATCTTCGTGGTCATAACAGATTAAAATCATCAATTTGTCAACGCTTCATAAGTCTTCCTCTCAGCCTTGTGCCTGGTGGCTCCAACCTCAGCGTCCGTCTACCTCTGTGATCATTGTCTCTCCTCTGGACATGTCCAAACCATCTCAGTCTGGCCTCTGGCTTGTCCTCAAAACGATCTAACATGAGCTCCTGATCCTATCCATCATCGTTATTCCCAAAAAGAACGTCAACATCTTGAGCGCTTCAACCTCCAGTTCTGCCTCCTGTCTTTTCCTCGTGGACACTGTCTCTAAACCGGACAACATGGCTGCTCTCACTGCTGCCTTCCACATCTTTTCTTTCGTTCTTGCTGAAACAGTTTTCACACTTCTTCTCCTATTTTCCACACTCTCCATTGCTTTGGACTGTAAACCCAAAGTCCTCCACCTTCTTTACTTCTTCCTGCAGTTTCACTCTTCCACTTGTGTTCATCTCATTTACACACATGAATTTGGTCTTCATTTCTCTCTTTTCCAGAACACGTCTCCACCTCCCTGGCTTGTCCTCCTCCTGTATCCTTCTCTCACTGCAGATTAATGTCTTCTGCAAACATCAGAGTCCACGGAGACTCGTGTCTGGCATCATCTGTCAGTCTGTAACCTGGCAGCAGCCAGATCTCTATGTGTAGCCCCGCCCAGCATCACGTCCACACATTTCTGAGTTTGGAAAATTCCAAATCTCGAGAGAATTCATCTTGCAGCGCAAGGTTAGTAATTCTGTCCATCATCAAAGCAAACGAGAAGAAACCAGAGCCGATCCTTGCTGCACTTCCACCTCCACCTCCTGACACTCCTGCAGCACACCTCGCTGCTGTCTCGCATCACTCAGTCGCCCAGAGAGACAGCAGGTTTGGTCATCAGAGACATGTATCAGGAATGTTGCGGCCAGTGCCGTTTATGTCTTTGTGTTTTTACCCTCGTGGCTGAGAGGAGCTGATTTGCAACACCTGGGGTGTTTCTCGATGTCAAGACGCCTTCCTTACGAGGACACGGTCCTTCCTTGGTCAAAGAAAACGGTTAAATGGAACAGACGTGCATCACGTGACTGCGGCTTCCACGGCGGGCACGTAACGTCACGTGACGCGGGAGATAACGTTATATTTTATACGTTTTATTTTCAATATAAATATACAACGAGGCTTTTACTTTTTAAATTGTGTATATGTTTATTAAATAAAAAATATAAGTGAGTTACTACCCGCTAGCCACCGAAGCTGCACCTACTAAGCTACTAACCAACCATAGATAACTTCTTTGGATCTAAAAAAAAACATTTTAAATTAGCTGACTTACTTTTAAACTTAAAAATTGTCCCGAAGTAGCTGCCGGCTTCTGATCCGCCGTCCTTTTGAAAATACTGCGGTGTATTGTGGGTAATTTTTGACCAAGGCTAGGCTACAAGACACCTGCCGTGTGTCCTTGCTCTGCTAGCTAAACGGCTAACAAACGGAGAACGCGCGCCCCGGTAGAACATGAACATTGGAACATGTCTTGGCGGCTCCCGATGACGTATCTCCTAGGCAACCGGGGCGGGGCCAAGACATCAAGGCAAGGTTCCTTGACATTGAGAAACGCCCTATGTCTCTGAGCAACGCCGTATTAGATGCCATGTTTTCTTCTACAGGAGCCCGTGAGGCCAAAATGCATTTACTGATTTATAACAAATGGTTACAAAACTTTCATAAACGTTGTTGTTCTACACATTTACCTTTTCACTTGTTGCCGGTGATAAAAGGGAGTCTGATGTTCTTGTTATTTTGCTGAAGTTTGCACTCCCTAGAGCTTTTTGACCCTAATGGGCATCTGTTGGTCTTACTCTAACAAAAATACTGCTTGCTTGCAACAATTTAGGAATGTCCTGCCCCCATCGCCAGAAAAAATACACACAGTCACTTTAAGCATAATTATTACACTAATCAACAGCTGCTCTGTTTTTAAGCTTGTTTCTCATTAATGAACTTCTAACAGACAAAATTACTGACTTGTGTTTTCTAGTCAGAAGGATCAGATTTGTATTTGTTTTTCAGGAGCAGAAGAAACATGTTGTTGGACTCGGAGAACATCCATCTGGTGGGAACATGACTCATACCAATGTTTTTGTTACTGTCTGTGCA